TTTATCAATTATTCAAATATAGGCAGGTTCGATCGAAATAAGTGCTAAAGTCAAGATCTATTTGCAAATCAAGTTTTTTAACATGAACGTTTTATTATTCAATAATTATATAGGCGGGTTTGATCGAAGTAAGTGTCAATGTCGAGATCTACGAAGCTGTTTGTAATCAATTATTAAATAATCATATAGGCGGGTTTGATCAAAGTAAGTGTTAGTCAAGATCTATGACGAAGCTGTTTGTAATCAATTATTAAATAATCATATAGGCGGGTTTGATCAAAGTAAGTGTTAAAGTCAAGGTTTACGAAGCTTGCAATCCAGCTTGCAAAATGAATGTATAGACGTGATCAAAGCATTTTAGTAATAAATAAATTATCAATTCAATTTTCAATTTAATTTAATTAAACACACGACACTTTATTTTTAGTAATAATAATCAATTCAATTGTCAATTAATTAAGAAGTAACCGAATAATAAATTCAATTGTAAAAGCATAATGCTTTTCTTTAAAACAAATCAATGATCCAAAAAAACAGGGTATATGATAATAACAGTAAAAATGTTTTTTTTTGGCATTTTTAGTAAGAAACAAATAATTAACTAATTCAAAAAAAATGCAAATAGGACGGCCGTCCCCACATTTTTTTTTTCGTAACCTCTTTCTCTCTCTCGACTCTTATTATTATTATTATTATATTTCACAAAATTGAAAAAAAAACAATTTTTAGTTTAGATGATCTACATTACAGCCAATCAGAATTTTGTACCCAAGTAAGCCACCCTTAATCAAATTTGAATTATATATATCACACACAAAACCATAGTTTGTGAGTGCGAACATGGAGGCAATTCAAGCAAATGCAACTAATTCACCATTAACTGATGTTCAAAGCAATTTTATTACAAAAAACCTAATCGAGTTCTTGATAAAAGAATCAATACCTTTCTACATTTTGAAAAGTCCTAGCTTTCAAAAATTCATCCAATCTTTGAATCCCCAGTTCAAAATTCCAAACACAAATCTAATTAAGGAATCAATAATACATCTATACAATATTTCATTTGATGAAATTAAAATCAAACTTTTTAATAAATGTCAATTTGCTTGTTTGACCACAGATTTTTGGACTGCTTCACATCAGAAAAAAGGATATATGGGTATAACTTGTTCCTGGCTCTCTGAAGATTTTGAACCAGTTGAAACTCTTTTAAACTTGTTTCATGTTCCCCATCCACATACAAACTTGGTTACAAAAAATCTAATAGAGGAAGAAATATTAAAGTGGAATTTAGAGGGGAAAATTACAGCTATTACTACCGATAATGGTAGTAATATGGTTTCAGGGTCTAGATTATTAAAAAATTCATTAAATATCGAGAGAATTTCTTGTACAGCTCATACATTACAACTCTGTGTTAAAAAAGCACTTAACTGTGATGATAAGATTAAAGCATTGGTTTTAAGGGCAAGAAAACTTATCTTATCTTTCAACTCTCCAAAACAGTTGGAGGCACTGTTCAATGTGCAAGAGAAGATTATCCAACAAATCTAAAACCAATACATGATGCAGCCACACGTTGGAATAGTACCTATAATTCATGGGTGAGGTTATTGAATCTCAAAAAAGCAATCATTATCTTACAAAATCATATGATACTGGATAGTGATCCTGAAACTAGAAAAAGTGGGAGAAAATTACAAAAATTGTTATTAACAGAAAATTAATTAAAGAATTTATTGAAACACTTAAACAATTTGACAACACTCAGTAGTAGAGATTTTGTAACATTATCTTTAGTTGTGCCACTGATATTTTTCCTAAAGAAAAGATTCTTAGATTAGTGACATATTATATATATAAATGACGAAAATTATGACAACAATGAATTTGAAAATGAAAATATTGAACCAATAGATACTTTATTAATAAAACATACAATTTTATGCAAAAAAATGGACATACTTTCTCACTTGTGTCAATTGAACTTGGAGTCTCTATAGTTCTTGTAGTGATAATAATAGTAGTAGTAGCACAAGTAGTTTTTTTTTTTTAATAAATTAACAATAATAGTTGTGATAATTGGTTTTTTCTCATTGTAATGATAATAACAATAGTAATTCATTTTTTTTCCTATTAGCAAATAGTCATATTAGGGTTTCTATTCAAATAAGAATTATTTGTTATATTCATAATGAATTTGAGTATTTGAATGCTTATTCAAATAAAATGAATAATTTGAGTTAAGATTGAGCTGTATTACGCGTTAATTTGAATAAAATGAATAATAATAAAACAAATAATAATAATAAAATGAATAAGTCAAGTTATCTTACTATTTTAAATTTATCATAGCAAACACATGAACAATTAAATACCAAACCGGATCTGAGATTTTTTTGATTAATCTACAATTATCCAAAACTAGAAGTTTAAAATGTTATTTTCAGAGCAAAAATTAAAATTAGAAATTTTATAATTAGCTTAATACAAAAATACAGTAAATTATCTCATACAAGCAATTTATTTTGATTCAAACCATCACTATTAACTATGGTAAATTGTGAAAATGGCAATTTAAGTATTTCCCAACTTCAAAGCCTTTTATAACTTTTCGTTGCTAAATAATTCAGTGTTACAAAAGTCTTTGGACAAATAAATTTGGTCACTACTCCATAATTACCATGCTATGTCATATGGTCAAGTATTTATTTGAAAGCTCAGAATCAAGAGATTTTATTTAAAAAAAATTAATAAGGAATTCATTCCCCATTATTATCAATAATGAGTTGGCAACATTCATTTATTGATCCAATTAAATTAATTATAACATTTTGCGGAATATTATCCCATTCTTCTTCTTCCACCATAAACCTCTCTAATTCCACAATATTTTTTGGTTGTCATATTTCCACATTTCTTTTAATGATAGCCCACATGTTTTCTATGGGTTTAGATCAGAACTATTGGAAGGCCAGTCCATTACAGACGGAACATTTGCTTGGAGAAATTCTTTGGCTACACGGCTTGTGTGTTTAGGATCATTATCCTGTTGGAGCCGCCAATTTCTATCAAACATCTGATTAGCTTCAGGAAAGTTATTTCTTATGATATCAACATACAATGGGCCAGTCATATTATCACGGAAGCAAAAAAGACTGGTTTTGCCTTTAGCACAAAACCCACCCCATGCATTAATTCTTGTTTGATCTTTGGGAATACGATGAACTGATCGTGCACCTTGGTACCAATACTCTACAATATTCCGAAACAACCAGAAGGATGTTTCATCAGTAAAGAGTGTGTGATTCCAATTATTGTTAATGTGTTTTTGGGCCCATTCTACCCTCTTTTGCTTGTGTGTTTCTGTGAGCATTGGTGTTGCCAATGGACGCTTTTTATAACCAAGGTCAGCCAAATGTTGCAAAATTGTCACATAGGAGACATTTATACCCTTTAAAGACAGTTTGTTGGCCAATGTTCTTGATGATATTGCTGGATTCCGTCTAATATATTGTCCAAGAGCTTTTGAGCCTTCTGACGTAATTTTTTTGGGGAGATCAGAACGTTTTTCGTGGGCCATACTTCCGGTTTTCTCCAATTGTAATAGATGGTTGACCTTGAGATACTTGTTCTACATTGAATTTCTGCAGCATTTCTAATTCCTTTTTCCCACAAATGTTGAATTGATTGGACTTGCGCGGTTTGATTGTTGGATTTGCTTATATTAGAACAAATTGTAAACAAAAGTTAGTAATAAATAAGGCAAATGATAGTCGGGATAACGAAGTAATAATATTATTTAATTTAACCAATTTTGGATTTAAATTGGTTGAGCTGTGCGGTTTTTAATTTCGTCCATGATGTGTCTAGTAGTGGTAAAAAATATCAATACTTTTGTAACACGCTGTACATACACTACAAAAAATTCATAAAAAATATGATTTTTGCTTACCATGAACCACCCAAAATTACAACGTGTTTATCATCAAAGATAAACTTTACTAGGTTTAAATCCTGGGTGTTTAACAAATTCACTTGATGCCCATTCCCATCCAGATCCCAATGTTTGAATTTTATCAATATTGTTTGGCACATCAAATGGTTAAATCCTACGTTTGATATTAATGGGTGGTGATGATTTATGTAATGCGTATAATGCGCTTAATTCTTCTGCTGCTGGCGATCTCATCCCTTTCCATTCTGCGTGTTTATATGCTTGTCTTTGACTCAACATAACTGGCCAATTAATTTATAATAAAATAGTGATGGATCAATTGGAACCCATGATGCCGGTATTTTTTGTTAACTGTTGCCCTCATAAATTTGAGATATTCTCCGTTAGTCACTGGCCTTGAATTAATTTTAAAAGATTCAATACTAACTTCTTTCCTAGGTGACTCGTTATCCCACCCAAATTCTTTACTCGAATCATATTGCTCATCATCATCTTTATATTCATCGTCATTATGACCTATTGTAATAGTATGGAGTGGTCGTTTCTTTCCATTTGGATATCACAACTCCTTTAGGCTGTAAAGTGGATGGTGATTGTATCAACATATAAAGAACTGTCTCAAGATGCATAGCTTCATGTTCGAATATTACTCTTCTTAAAATCTGTAACTTTATCCAATCCTCACCATTCAACTGGTGTTATTAAATGTGTATCAGAATCAAGATATCTTTCAAAATTTTTTTGACTCTGCATTTTTTTCCTGTGATATTTGGAAAGATGAATACCCAGAAATGCTGGAACATGACCTAAATAAAAATATGAGCGGGTTTCTAAGGTTGGTGTGTTTTTCAAGTAGCATTTCTGGTGAGATTATACTCATTGTTATTGTGTCCCATGATTTCCATAATTCTTTCCATTCATCTAACGTTGATATAGATTCTCGCGACGAACCATCATCACCATCATGACTATAATAAATGACAATTTACTTAGCAAACGGAGGTTATATTGAGATTGTGGATCCGTCCAACTTCCAACATGAGAAAGTCTTACTCTATGAAAAAGTTGATCCAGAATTTTTTTTTATCATATTTATATGAATATTCAACATGAATCAATTCGTCTTCTTTCAAATTTATTATAATTTCTTTTTCTTCTCCTTTTGGCGATTATATTTCAATGTCATGCCACTCTTGGATTTATAGCGAGATTCATGCTCACGTTATAGAATGAATCATACTCAAAAATCAATAATATTAACATGATTTAATCCATTAATAATTAATCCTTTGGTAACACCTTTAGGTTATCATATGCAATTTTGATTTTATCAGAATTAATTTTTCTATCAATACCAATCACCAGGATTCATAGATTGATTTTGAACCTTTTTTGATAAAGTCCATTCCATCTTTAGTAGAATCTTCCAATAATGAACCTAACCGTAAAATTGATTTAGACAGTTTATCACCACTATTACCATTAGAATTACCATCAGAGTCGCCATTAGAATTGCCATTGGCACAGTTATTGTTATCGTTTAAATCATTAACAAATTCATAAGTTTCCCCATAAATTTAATGTTTTCGTGTTTTCCCAAGTGAACCAATAGCGTAGTAGATTATATTTTTTCCTCTAATAAATCAAAGAATTTTGGTCTTCGTAGTGACCTAAATCATTTGACAGGCATCTTTTATTACATGATTTTTGGATAATAATGAAACAAACATACCTGACCCAAGTCCAATGACCAAACCATTATCTTTAATATTAATGTGACCAACAATACAATCTGCCTCGTTCCTTGGATTTTTGCATTAGTTAGATAATATTCCCCAAGGTGTGTAATTTCATCAAATAATTGTAATCCCCTATCATCCATCATCGTACAACAAAAAGGTAGGAATGTTTTTTATGACATTTTCAGGTTTATTTAAACCATTAATGATTTCATCAATTAGTGATTCTTGATATTCACGAATATCAATAATTAAAGAGCTTATATCATTATCTTTGAATGAACGATGGGATCCTCATAGTTGAATGGAAATACTTTAAAAATGAGTCTGTGGGCAAAAAAAAAAAAAGGACCAATAAAGTGAAACAATAGATACAGCTTATTTAAGATGAAAAGAGTGTATCATAAAAAAGATCAACATCAAAATTGATATAATTTTGAATTGACCAATAAAAATTGCATAATTATATATATATATATATATAATATATAAGGCGGCAATCACCAAACGAAGTTATTAATAATATTTGGTTTTTATTTTACAAAATTCAAAATTGCTTAAAATTATTATAATCGTATTTTTGATTTCATTGATTGAAAGATACGGTGCGATGGATAATACAGAGTGTGGCAGAGAAGGCTCCGAGTTTTGTTATTATTATTGATTGAAATAAATGTGGTTTCCCCCCAGAGCTCCCTTCTCGTGTTCGAAGTTTCCGTCACAATGGGTTAACAAATGGCGACTTGCATAGACAACCAAATAATAGTTCTATTATGTCTAACACCTACAGCAAACCCCCCTAAGTGCACCCCCTTGGGAATGAGTGAGAACGTGCATTTAAAGAGGGTGTGCATTTAGAGAATTAAAGCATTTTATTGGTCGTACGTGACTCACGTGATACAAATCAAAAATTTTTAATGTACAAATTTGTACGATTAAATTTTTTTATATAGAAAAATTTTTCTGATCATCATGCTTTCTAATTAACAAATGATATTTGAGATTTTATACATTGATCTATATATAGAAATTCGGCCATTATTATTATGGGTTTTGTAAAACTGTAAAAAGTTTACCATGCCCATGTCGATCATTACCTTAAAAATCGATAAAATTTTTTGTTGTGCGATTTGGTTAATTTTGATTGGTGGAATTTTGTAATTTACCAATAAAATTTTCGAAATTTCCTTATTCGAAAATGTGGACAGTTTAAGGGATAAAACATGAATATTGTTTAAATTAGTAAAATTTTCAAGAGAAACAAAATTCATGCTTTTGAGAATCAGATAAAGTTACTTTATTTTTTGGAGGAATTTTATTTAAAAGCAATAAAAGAACAAAAATTAATCATTCACTTTAAAGAAAATAATAACTGTTAGTTAATAATAGACAAACATTTTACTTAATTAATTATAATTACCATTTGAAACCTTTAAATGTTTGTCGGATAGAAGATATAAAATAAAGTATGGCGAATGAGCAGTGCAGATATCTTGTAAAGGAAAACAAAAAAGATTAAATAAGATCAAAAATGAATGTATAAAAATACAAACTTGAACTTTCTGAGGATAGATAATTTGTACAATTCGGGAATAATAATAGTCTTTATTATAACAAAATAATGTTGATTGCACATATCACGTGAAAGTCACGGGCGTGCATTTAGGGTGGTTTTAATATAGTTGGGAACGAAAAAAGACCGTGCAGTGCAGGTATAGAGAGTGCACTTATCTCTTAAGTCCCGAGCTTGGAATGAATGCATTTAGAGAGTGTGTGCATTTATGGAGGTGCATTTAGGGGGAGTTGACTATAAGTTCAATCAATATGTTGTAAAGTTGAATTTTTTATTTATTTTCTTGGGGTGATTTCTTTAAGAATTTTGCTTCTTAAAAAAGTTTGCAAAAAAAGCGTGAACACAAATGAGCGAAATGAGGGTTATAACTCTGTGAACTATGCAAATAGTTTTTACGGCTCGTCAAAAAGATTTAAAGTTCCATTTTACCACCTTAGCTAAAGCAAAGAACAATTCATTGCTTTAAAGAAATATTTAATTGAGATTATTGTTAGTTCTTCATATTAATATGAAGGATGTGGACGGATCAGTATTTGTCCAGGCCTCTCGATATCTTGGTTTAACATTCCTTTTTTTTGTTGGCGTAGTCCTCTCATATATTGATTTCTCGTATGTAATGAATAGATTAGATGAATGAAACAATCAATGAATCTTGATATTAGATTAATTTTAAATTTTTTATTAAAATTAAACTCGTCATTTCATTTTTTTTTCAAATTTCAAGTCTATATTTTTTTTTTTTATTTTTTATTTCATTTTTATTTTATAAAAAAATCTAATACTAATATAATCTGATTTTTTAAGTCTAATCCGACAAGAATAATGAATGCACTCAATAATTAATTATGTTATATACTAAATTAAATGTTGTTTTTATTATTATTAAAACTATTAATTATAATATTATATGCGTGTGTAAAAACAAATTTTTAAAAAAATTTAATGAAAATACAAATGTCACATCAAAGATTTTTCTCCGGATCTAATTATAATTTTATAGGACATTTGTTTAAATAGCAATAAAAAAAATTTTAAATAAATATCTCTAATCTACTTTAATACTTTTAAAAATCCTACGAATGAATGCTAAACATGCGAAATAACCAATTGATCCTACAAAAAAAATTTTTTTTAAAATATTTAGTTAGTTAAAAAAAAAAAAAAAGTTTTTTTTCTCAAATTTCAAATTATTTTTTACCTGTCAAAACAAGGAACATTAAACTTATGGCACCTGTCCACCCAAAGTATATTACTGTATTGGTCAAAGATGAAATTTGTAATCTGGTTGCATAATACATAATTGAATAAAGGAAAATATAAAATCCAGAAGCTCCTGATGTAAAGAATGCTCTCCATGACCAATGATAATCCTAAATAAACAAATAACAAATAATGTTAATGTTATCCCATATAAAAATTATCATTATTATTATCATCAAGACATTGTGGATTTCTTACCTCTGCACATAAATGGAAATAGCAAAGAAGGATGGTAACTTCTGAACACGTAATTGTAAGAATTATAAATACCAAGGCTGCAAATCCAAATAAATAATAGACTTTACTACCCCATATACTATTCATTATGAAATATAATTCTATGAATATTGCACCAAATGGAAGTACACCGCCCATTAACATGGAAGGAATTGGTCTTAGGTAAAAGACTTGATCTGGAATTTGTCTTGGGATCTGGTTGGTACGTACTGGATGTTCAATTCTCTGTAATAAAATATAATAAATATTATTTTATAAACATTATTTCATAATGTCTCTCCCGGGGAAAATAAAAATAAATAGCAACATACGGGTTTTCTAAAACCAATAAAGGAGCCTGTGAAACATAAAGGAACAGAAATTATGAACCATAATCCTATAATTGCCAATAACGTAGTTGCTGGTACTGCACCGGATGATTTAGCGTACACAAGGAAAAAGTTTAGTAAAAGTAATATAGAAAATATGACACTAGTAAAATTATGATAAAAAATGAGAAATGAAAAAAATATATTTCGGTTAATATTCACACTTGTAATAAATAAAATAGACTTGTGGGTATATATATATATATTTACCCAGGGAATAAAAATGCTGTGAAAAAGACATTCTTTTTCCACGATTCTCCACCAAACATCTTGTATATACGAGCTGAGACAAAACCAGCCACAAATCCAAAGAGCATATAGAATATAAGCATTACTGTGGCAAGAGAACCACGATTTGATGGCGAAAGAAAACCTAGAACAGCAAAAACTGTTTTGGCCAAGGAAAATGGATGGACAAAGGAAAAATGAGATGTGAAAAAATTAAACGTGGTCGAATATACCAGAATAAATAATTTATATATAATGATAATTATGATTAGAAATATACATACCAAGAGTGACTGCTGTCATGAAATATAATTGAGCGCCACTACCCAAAAGAACTGATAATAACATCATGTTGGAAGGTGGACGGAAAACATCACCATGAACCAATTTCCAGCCAAAGTCTTCTTGAACATCTTCCTGTGCTTCGAGTTGGTTGTATCTGGAAATATCTTTGTGTAAGGCACGAAGTAATATCATAGCGACCATACCGGTCAAGAATAAGACAATTACTACTGAATTAACCAAACTGAACCAATGAATTCTTGGATCAAAAGTGTGTAAATAATTATCCCAACGAGTTGCCCATGCAGTTTCAGAAAGCTTTTTTTTTTTTATTAGAGATAAAATATTTATATCAATTATTATTATATTTATAATCACTTTATAACAACAACAACAACAACAACAATGATAAACCATATATAATGAAAGATTATACATACATCCCATGTAACTCTATAAGTGAAATGCACAGAATTATCTTTTTGTTCATCTAAAGCTAAAACACTTTGATCATCAACTTGACATGTTCTTGCTTCTTTTTCATTTTTATATTTTTTACTATTAATTAATTAAATATATTATAATCATCATTCATTAGCAAAATGAAGAATGATTATTTATTGAATTAAGTAAGAAGTTAGTTTATTAGTTTGTTAATTACCTGTGTGGAGATACAAGAACACCAACCACTCTGTATTTTCCTGAATTATCTTGTTCATGATATTGAATGTGAATTTCGTAATGATTGTTAAATGAAGGAGTAGGAGTTGTTGATGGATCACCTAATTCGAATCCAATACTATAGAAAGATGTGGATGTTTTTAAATCTATTTTTTTACTGGCAGCTGGAAGTCCATCAATTAGCCAATTAATCGCATAATTTTCACGAATACGTTCGTTAATGAATTTGGCGTCTGCGCCAGAAATTGTTTTTGGACAAAGATATTGACATGTCGTATTATCATCTTGCATCTGAAGCTATAAAACGAATGAATTGTGTATGTGTGTGTGTGTATATATGTATATATATAATTATTATACAAAATAAAAAAAGTTTGTAATATAAAAATTATATGTGTGTGTGTAGATAAATACCTTATAAGGTGAGTTAAAAATACGGTCACCAAACAATATACTTCCCAAAGATTCTGGTTGACTTTTTTTTTCCTCAGGTTCACAAAAACCAAAAGAACTGTAATAATAATCATAAGGAATGAGAGATTTTAATTGTTGTGTCCTTGTTCCCATCATTGGGGTTAAGGAGTTGACAAAAACTTCTACAGGCTCACTCTTCTTATAATCGTGAGGTGCAACACCAGGTAAATAGAAGGCAAATGCATTTGAAATAAAGGAAAGCAGTAAGACACAACTTATTAAGAGGGTTTGTGATGATGTCATTTTTTTTATTATTATGATTTTTTAACATTCAATTTTTATTTTATTCCAAAGAAAAAATAAATGAAAATGTATGTGGTGTTACTAAAAAAAAAAAATTTTTGTTTTATATATATAATTTATATAAATAATAAATTTAATTGGTTTCGAGAATTTTGCCTATTGATAATCCGGATATCACATACTAACAAGTGCAGAGTAATATAGAGGCTTTGCGTGAATTACGTAAATTACTAAAATAATAAATAAAATGGGAATGGGATTTTCTTTATTTTGGGCATCTGTAGTGGCTTTCTAATGTGCCTAGAGAACTTGTTTTTGTCACGATTTACATAAAAGATCTCCTAATGATAATAATAGAACACTACCAAAGTTGTATTAGTATATATTTAAAAATATCTTTAGGAACAAATTAACATGATTTATTTATTACATGAAATCATGATTAAGAAAAATGATATTAATAAAAAGATTTATCGATATTAATTTCACATTTATATTTATATTTATGAGGAGTGGAACTTTATTAAAAATTGGTAAAATGTGCAACAATCAATTATATTGCATACATATTTATTATTTTATGATTGTTATATAAATTTAGTTTTTTTACCTTCTTTTTTTTTTAACAAAAATAAAAATAATAAAATAAATTTTTCTATTACTACAATATTATTATTATTATCATAACTTGAAAATACAACAATGCCTAAAAAAAACATTTTAAGATCAAAATCAACAACCACTTCAAGAATAATTAACAGCTATAATAATAATATTGAAAAAAAAAATTACACTTTTTGTTATTATGTGTCTGGCCACGGTATGTGAAATCATCCATTATCTTTTCTCTTTCTAAATTCATCAAGTTTATAATTCTATCTTATTTATTAATGGTTATTTTTTGATGAAAAAAAAAGGGTTTGGTCATGCGACGAGAGTAGTTCAAGTAGCTTCAGAAATATTATCTTTATCTCGTAAACATACCTTGTACATAGTTTCAAATGCGCCTCGTTTTATTTTTCAAGGTGCAATAGATAAAGGAGCTTGTTATAGACACGCATTGATAGACGCAGGGGTTCAACAACCTCGTGCATACACTGTTGATAGACATCGAACAATTGACGATTTGGAAATTTTTTTAGAAAACAGACCTGAAATGATAAAAAGAGAAGTTGATTGGTTAAAAGAAGTTAAAGCTGATATTGTACTATCTGACGCGCCTTTTTTGCCGTGCGCAGCAGCGTCAATAGCCGGAATACCATCAGCAATTGTTAGTAATTTTACATTTGATGCAGTATATAGTGGATTGTGTGAAGGTGATGAATTAGATCTTAGGATAAAAAAACTTGTTGAACAAGTTGTAGAAGATTACAAAAAATCAGAATTATTAATAAGATTACCAGGCTATATTCCCTTACCATCATTCGCCAGTACAAAGTTATATCCTGAATCAAAAACAGATGAATTGATAAGAAGTAATGGATATCATCACAATGTTAATTATCACACCAATAATGACGGTGATAATAGAAGACAAGTTATTGATGTACCGTTGGTAGTGAGAAAAAGTAAAACGCCAAGAGATGTTGTATTGAAAAATCTTGGAATACCTGAAGAAATATTTAAAACACATAAGGTTTTAATGGTATCGTTTGGAGGTCAAAATTTAGTCGGTATGGAAGAATGGGGAAGTCCGTTGCCCGATAATTGGATTGCAATTGTTTGTGGTAGTTCATTTGATAAATTACCAGAAAATTTTTACAATTGTCCAAAAGATGCTTATATACCTGATTTAACTAATGCAGCTGATGCAGTTATTGGTAAATTGGTAAGTATTTGTATATATATAAAATAGATAAATAATAATAATTATCACCTTATTATAATATATCATATTTATTTATTTTTACTTTCTTTTTTTCAGGGTTATGGTACTTGTTCAGAATGTATTGGGCATTCAAAACCTTTTATTTATGTTCCAAGACCTCAATTCATAGAAGAATTAGGTTTGCGCAAATTGATGGAATTTCAAGGTTCTAGTTTAGAAATGCCTAAAGAAAAATTTGAAAGAGGAGAATGGAAAACATATATATTGGAAGCTTATAATATGTCTAAAAATATAAATAATAATCATAATTCAAGAATTAAAAAATTAAAACATAACGGAGGTGAAGTTGCTGCCAACATATTAGAAAATTACTTGGATTATAAATATAATAATAATAATACCAATAATAATTGTCGTAACAATCGTAACAGTCAAAAGAAATTAAGAATTAAGGATAATAAAGATCAATCAACAATAACAGCAGCAGCAATATCAACAACATCATCAGCAATAACATCACCGAAAATTAATACTTGTTTAATGTCAGTTTCATGACTATTAATTATATTTATTTTATTATTTTATTTATTTAATTAATTAATTGGTTAATTATATAATTAGTTTAAGATATAAAATATCTATATAATTTTAATTTTTCCTAATTTACCTAGACATAGACATTTATAGAATTAATTTATTATGTTTTTTTTGATATATTTTCATCAACTATATATATATAATACATAGATTATTAAATTTGTGTGTAATTAATTACATCTTTCCTCGAAATGTTTAAATAAATTATTATAGAAGATTGTTTCACGCAATCAGTCGTAAATAATTAGTGATAAAATGTGTGATTAATGTAATTTGATGATCCCAATAACCCTCTATAATAGGTAATAGACTCTGACACTTCCATATGGTGGTGTGTGTACGAGTTCATACAACAACACAGACCTTTTTTTTTATTTGTAAAACAGTGAAGATCCAGCTAAATCATGTGTGACGTTATTACCGGAATTTTCAACGGGGCTGTTGAATATTATTAATATTAGCATTTATATCGATATTTGCATAAGTTTGTCTATTGCATCTTCACCAATTTTCGTGCAAAGTCCAAAACCAAGAAATTTTAGGTTGGCACGGTACGGTGTTGTGCAATTGCTTCGTATCAAACAGGAAATATCACAGATGAATAAATCAGAAATAGCACAGTCCTCAACATTGAGATGTTTGCAATGTTGCATATGGATAAATCGATAATGGAATTACACCAGTTAAGTTTAAGATATTCCAGACCATAATAGCATGGTATGACATCCTGTAAGAGAAAGATATCATGGGCATGACCATCTGGAAAACAGTAACAAAGTTTATATGTATATTATACGCAATTCTAAAGATTACGCGTAAATTTTTTTTTTTCGTATATATTAGCATATTATTTGCTTAATCTCTACAATTGCGTATAATCTTTGTTGCTATTTTCTGGATGACTGGGCAATTGTGATTATGGTCTGGTCGGTGATGGGTCTTATATTGTTTATACACAATGTTCTAATTTATTGGATTCTCGTGAGATCTTGCATACGAATTCGTTGGTAATACTGCTGCAGAAACTAATATCCAGGAACTGTAATTAACCAAGTTATTTCTTGATTACTGCAATATTGAAATACCTCAAGCTAGGAATACGAAAGAACGATTTTAACAAGCGAAACACCACTAAAGACGGAAACTGCAATTCAATTTTCATATGCCGCAACCACAACTAGATTCAATTTTTATATGCTGCAATTAATCGAGGAACCATCTTTACGCATCGCTGGATCTTTTACTTGATTCGAAATATAGATAAAGTATATTTGGGCCTTAATTAATAATTTTCCAATTTTTCGATCCAAGAGTTCGGAATAATCTGTGATTTGAAGATTTATCATTGATTGATTCCAATATGAATATGAGAGTGTCTATCTCCAACCAACTCAATAGAATTGGTACTAACAACTCTACTAGATTCAAAAGATTAGATTACATCTCTGGGTATATACAGGTCTGAAAAATACTTGCACAGGTATCTTGAGGCAATGATACTTACATATGCGATTTATTTAGTCATCAGCTTGGACTAGCTTGCCAAACTCTGATCTAAAATTTGCTTCGTAATCCGCTTCATCCCAGCTAATTTTTTCTTTCGCATTGTTTCACAAATATCTGGTTTGGTTTTATCAGGCACTGAATGAGAAATAAAAATCCGAGTTTAGGAAGCACCACTTCTTGAGTAAAGATGGCTCCTCAATTAATTGCGACTGGTTGCAACTAATTGTGGCACACAAAAATTGAGTTGAAGTTGTGGAATATTACGGTAATAATTCACGAATTTCATTGGCTTTAATATAAATATTTTTAATTCGTGCGACATAAATAAAATGGGACCAACAAAAAGAATATAGATGGCCAAGAGATATATATTCTTTTGTAATTGGATCTTGTATAAGCGATTATCAAATAATCCTAGCTAAATCAGCTTTAGATAAGGAAAGATCCATATGCTTAATAAAGTATGTTCTACAAAGTCACGAACTTCTGCTCGATTTGCAATCTTTGCATCTTAGAGAAAGCTATGCAGCGATCTGAAAGAAGCATACATATTAATAAAAAAATTTACCTCATTAGAAACATTCCGTGAATAATGTAATTTTTAATGCCATGCATGGTCTTATCTTTACTATATCTTTCATTATTGCCATTTGCATCTTTTATACCATTTAACCAAGTAGCTTGGTACATAGTTGCAAACCCACCTTCACCTTTTTAATATTCGTTAAATCATTATAAGGAATCCCATTGGAGATAACTACGATAATAATAACTTGTTGCTTTAAGTTATGTACTTTTAATCAATCCATTTAATGTTCCATTGCTACTAGTCCATCATTCAGTTAATAGCTTTGGATTGCATTATCGACACCATCTAGTATTATATCTACTCATTGGATCGACACCAATAAAATGAAGCGTTATTATTATCTATCTATTAAAAGTTAAACATTCTCGATATTTCATCTTTATCTTTTTTATATAATTTGTCAAACTTTATTTTTTAGCCACGAAATAATATATTTAGTTAACTCACGTTCAAACCTTTCCTACAACAGTGTGCTGATTTCCTTTTCAAATTTACGAATTGGGATTTGGGGAAACAGAGTCCAACGGGTTTCTTTTGCTAATAATGCATTTCTTTGAATCTCATGACAGATTGAATGGCTGATAATTTTTTCATATTATTAATTGGTAATTCGAAATAAAGATTTTCAAGTTCTCGTCAAAATACGGAAACGTTTCTGAATCAACAGGATCACTATTGTACCTAAAAAAAGAAATATTTATTTTTTAAATGTTTTTTTTTAAAGGTTTTATTGATGGAAAATTTGTCAAAAAGAAGGAACGGAGAAAAGAGAGAAGTACGAAAAAAGAATATCCCAAAAAACGATAAAATTTTATAAAAAAATTTATTATGAAATAAAGAACGCCAATTACGTTGCTGAAACAACAAAGACGGCATCAGCGAGAAGATCCGTTGACCAGCATAGAGATTTACCCATCTCTGATGTTCTTTCACTTGATCTTTGACAACTCAGTACGTTTCCATAGACAAACACTGAGATTTCTCAACAACGGTCCTTGTGCGGTTTTAATGGTTCTCGTGGTTATCCCGTGAGTCCCATTTCTACGGTTACCAAGGAGCTGAGCTGAACGAGTGAGATCTTTTACTACACAGAACCGAAGGTACGACTTTTGCATGCGATCGTATAAATATTGACGTGGCGTCTAGAACATTTGTGTCCAAGGCCAATGCGCGGTCCGATGACGAGATAGTGCTGGTGCGTGCAAAAGAAATTTATTAAATCCATCCCGCAGATTTAATATCTGGTTCAAATATGGGTATGCAAGTCTTATGTACGTATTACCATTATTCTTCATAATACGTGAGACATGTTTTATTACCATTTCGCATAGCCTTAGTATCTTTTTAGTGTGTGAAATATTTTTAAAATATTAATATATGGACATGTGAATTCTGATGATAAACGTAAACGTGGTATGTAATAGTCCATAGTTGGAATTATTGAGTTTTGCATATAATTTATTTTTTTATTATGTTCTTTAAATGAATCAAGCATGTAATTATCAATAAATTATATTAATTAATGTTACAACAATAATAACTCTCGGTTTCACATTCATTCATAATCAGGTGCTGCACCAAAAGTGGTATTGAATTCGGATGTATATATAACAGGAAAATTTGAAATTAAAGAGCACAAGATTTCTCATTATATAAATACTTTCATTTCCATCATCAATCGAGAAGGATCAGAATATAATGAGTATATAATTATCTATTTGTTTTATTTTTTTAATTTAATATTTACACAGGAGAGACCTTTCTTTACATTCATTAAAAAAATCAAACAACAATAAATTCTTTATTAGATAAAACTTTTAACTTCCTAAATTTTTAGTTTTTTTTTAACACATCAAAAAAAATAATAATATATATTCAACTTTTACCACCAATTTGAAGGAGGGAGATGTGATCAGAAGTAGAAAATAATGAGGTGTTGCCCTCGTTGTTATTGTTTATTCTTGAGGGTGTGTGAGATCTAGTGTTGGTACCTTTTGGTGATTTTGGCCTACTAAGTTCAATATTAAAACCTGAATTAAATGGAGAATACCATTGTGTCTGGTTTCCCCAGTTAGTGTTGTTATAGATGTAATTACTGTTATCATGGTTTGTTGTTGCTGGTGACGGTGGTGATGGTATTCTATTGTTATTGTAACATTGGTTATCATAGTAGCAGCTTTTATTACTATAGATACTGCTACTATTATTGTCATTCCTAGTATCGTGAATACCCATGTTATTATTGCCGTTACCATTACTATAACCGTAACAAATGCTATTGTTGTTATTATTGTTGGATGATGAAAGGACATCAGCGTATGTTGCAGTAGCATTATTATGATTAGTAAAGGTGGTGACGGTGTTGCTATTGACGGCAGGAGCATTGTTGAGATGATTTAATGAAAAATATGTGCTAAGATTATTACTATTATCAGATGGTGATTGTGATATTTTATTTTTGGAACTTGTTGCTGAGCTGTTGGTATTGGTTTTTTCTTTCCAAGATGATGCAGAAATTTGTTTATCTTTATACAATTGATCAAATGATTTTTCCTTGTAAACTTTATTATTGCCATTGATCGAATCTAATGATCTTTTATTATTGTTATTATAATTACCACTACCGTTAGCATAACTATTGTTGTTGCTGTTATTGTTGTTATTGTTATTCTGTTTATAATATCGAGCATCAGTGTTTGGTTTAAAATTTCCTATTGTCGTGCCATTTAAATGGTTTGAATCACCAGTTTTTGTCGCAAGATTATAGCTGGCGGATTTTGGTCGTTCTGGGGCGGTAAAACGTTGACCGTTATAACCACCATTATTGTTACTACCATTACCACCATTACTATTATTATCGTTACCGTTATTACTGTAAAATTTCTTGGTATCTGTTCTCTTGTAATCTTTATTTGTACCATAAAGCTCGTTATTGTTTCGCGAGTTTCTTCTCTGTGGCTTATTATTGTATTTTTTGAAGGAATGATTTTCAGTGGTGTTGGATTGATTTACGTCCTGCTGATTATGGTGTTGGTGATAAGATGATGATGTAGACGATGAAGAGGAGGAACGACGACTTAAAGTACTTGAGGTGCTTTTTTCGTTAGACAGGATTTTATTGAATGATTGACTACGCACTCTATTATAATCATAATTATTGCTGTTATTATTATTACTACTAGTTGCTGTAGTATTATTATTATAACTATAACCACCATCATTATAACCTTTTGAGTTCCTCTTTTGTGATTTTTGTAGCTGGTCATTGTATTTTACGAATGAGTGATTTTCAGAAGCTGCAGCGGTTGTTTGATTATTATCTTGATTGTTAATCTGATTTTGTTGCTGGTTGTGGTGATAAGAAGAAAGCGAAGAAGATAACGGTGATGATGATGAATGATTTTTAGCGGTAATTTTTTCGTTGCCAGCGATGGTGGTGTTATTAATATTTTTATTATTGTTATTACTACCGCCACCGTTACAAACAACATTGGAATTTTTTTCGTTGGTGGTGTTAACAGATTGCTGATAACTTTTATCATTAACGTTGTTTTTATTGTTGTTATTATTTTGATTATTATTATTGTTACTAGAAACATTGCGATTATTTGATTTTCTTCTTCTTTTACGTGATTTAGAACGAGATTTATGATTGTTATCATTATTACTATGATGATGATTGTGATTCTCAGAAGAAGTTGATTTTTGATCGGTGATGGACGAAGAAGAAGAATTATAATCGGTTGGTACAATATTTTCATCAATTGCCTCAGTCTTATTATTATCAGAAACATTTGGTGACGACGATGAATTAGAATGATTTTCAATGCTAGGATCGAAAACATTATGATTGTTAGCACCATTGACATTTTTGTTACTGTCATCTGTTGTGGAGGCAATATTAGAAGATCCTTGAACAGATTTGGAATCAGTGACGGTTGGTTGTTGCTGATCAGTAGTAGAATTGACCGGTAATGATGGATCAGTTGTTTGATTGATGATAGAGTTTGTAGATGAAGAAGATGACAAAGCGGTGATAGTTGAAGATGATGAAGTGCTCGAGGGTGATAAAGAAATCCTGTTCTTATTATTACCATCAGTATTTTCAACTATAACACTATTATTGTTGTTATTTTCTGATCCAGTATCATTGAAATTTATTGTAATTTCTTTTGTTATTATTTCTTCTTTTGTCGAAGATGGTGGCTGTAGCGATCGAGTTTGCTCGTATTGGTGTGCAGTTGGTAACGGTGGTGACGGTGATGGAGAAGAAGACGATGAAGGAGAAGTAGCAAGTGGCAATATAGCAGTAGGTTTTGGTATTAGAGAATCATTTTTGATAAGGTCGACATCATTTTTTTCAATATCATTTGAATAGTTGACAGAAGCATTATTTGGAATTTTATCAGCGCGAGAGGAAGATATCAAATCAGTTTTGGTATCGGTTACGCTGATTGTAATTATTTCAGATGATGAATCAAGTATGGAAGGTTGAGACGAAGGAGGCGTTGTTGTGGAAGATGAAGAACAATATAAAGATATTGGTGATGATATTGATGATGAAAGTGGTGATGATTTATTATGATTTTTTTGTAGTAGTGATGAAAACGTCGTAGATGATGACGACGACGACGATGATTTATCCGACAATAAAGGATTAGCAGATATTAATGAAGATGCTATTGATGTTGACATGGATGTTGATAAATTTTGTGATGAAGATGAATTTTTGTAATTGTTGCTTGAATCATTTACATTTGAACAAGTGGAAGTAGCATTATTTACATTATCAAAATCGTCAAATGGTGATGACGATAAATAGCGCTGCTTAATATCATTTCTAGCAGCTGATGAAGGTTGAGGTAACTTTTTTTCATTATGGTCACCAAGCACGGATCTAGTTGTGCGCGATTTTTGATTCTTTTTAAACAATAAAAAAAAAAAAAAAAAGATGGTAATGATTAGTTTTGTATATATATATATATATATTTACAGTTACGTATTAATAATGTGCACATTTGATATCATTTATCATAATAATTGAATGAATAAAGGAGGAGGAGAAGGAAAGTTTTATATTAATTAAATGATAAAATTCTTGTAATAATAATAATAAATTTTTTAAACAAAATTAGATCAATTAAATATGATAAATATATATTCATTCCAATAATATTAAAACAAGAGTTGTAGCAATAGTAATAATTATATACATACATATATAAACCAGACAAACATTAGCATTAACACAACGATCAACGTGAGAGACCACGGAGTTATTGAAACCACATTAGTAATAATATTCATTACTTCTAGTCGTGTTACATTAAACATTATTACTAAAACATATATTAAATAAAAGTAATATTATTAGTATTAATGTATAACAGTGTGTATATTTAAAGAGAGGAAGTCGGTTACGAGACAAAGAAATCGATCAAAGAGTAAAGTTAAAAAGCATACATTGTAAATATTTTAGTCCTTTTTTTTTTTTTGTTGCCAATCGTTATTTTATAATTATTATTTTTCTTTATCTTAATTCCTAATATATTTTTTTTAATTATTTATAAAGAATTTGTTCATTTATTATCAAATTTTTTTAGTGTGAATGAAAAGAAAATTTTTTCTGGATTAATTCTTTAACCAGTGTATATTGATGAAGTTGGTAAAAAAAGTTCAAATAAAATATATGTGTCAGTCAATAGTTTTAAATATTATTGATTGTAATAACTAGATGATTAAAAGAATTTGTCGATTAGGTAATTGTGTAAATAAAATTAATATTAGAAAAATAAAAATTTTTTTTTTGTTTAACAAACACATTTCTTAAATAGTTGATATCTACTGACAAATAAGGATAAATCAATGTCAAAAAAGAAGATCAATTGTATATAATAGCAGGCCGGACTGCATACAAATTTCAAATTTACAATTAATTATTATTTATTATTCATTATTACTACGGGTGCGGCAAAGTTTCAAAAAGAAAAAAAATTACCAGGTCTAAAATAAAATTCACGTGATTTGTATAAATTGAGCCAGAACTTGCACTTTTGTCAGATACTGAAGGTAAAACTGAGTTGTCAGACGATGATAACCCGATCCATCTTCTGAACCGATTGTTATTTCAGAGCCATAAATTGTTTCATCCAGGAATCATAATATCATTATTTATTTATTTACACATCATCAAAGACATCAAAATCTTGGTCTTTTTCATTTTCATCACTAACTTGACATTTAGGAAGCATCGTAAGTTTTTATTTTATTTTTTTTATTTTTCAATATCAGATTATGGGATTAAAAAATTTAAAAGAAATAATTTATTGAACGCGTTCGCGTAATAATAATTTGAGGTTTTCGTGGCGAAATTCCTCGAGAATAACATGAATTAAAAACAATAGAGCTCGCAACAGATAATTTTTTCTGGTACATTAAAGCTAGAGACCTGTTCTATAAAACAACAGAGAGTCAAATTCTTTGTTTCTTTAAAGTTGGTCAAGATTTAGGGACAATGTGCGCGCAGTCACGTTACACGTAATATTCCACATATTAAATATCCCTCTCCGATTTTTAATATCCGATTTGACCATGAAACCTAATTCACTTCTGAAAATCATATTATGGCTGATCCATTATTTCTTTACGGTTAGATCGTCTATACTCAAAAGTTTAAAAAAAAAGGTCTCAATTCTAATTTCTTTTTTAAAGTATAAATAAAATGTGTCACGAAATAAACATATGTTGTACAAAATTTAATTAATCTAAACAATAGATGATCTGCATTGAATGATTCATTCATTACATGGGCGTATAGTGGGTTCACAAAGTATATACATACATCCAGTAAACAAAAAAGGATAATAGCAAAGAAAAAATCAAATCATCATTTTGTTTATTTTAAGTAAAGCTATCACTGATTATTCTTGGAGCGTGAGGTGTATCAATCTAACTGCTATGTTTGGGAAGGAAAATTGAAACATTGAAATTATTGAGATATACATATGATTGCCTAATTTGGAAAGATCATCGAGAATTTTCAAAAAAATTGAAACATTTAATTTGGAAAAAGTTTCAAAAGGCGTAACAAATGTGTGCTAATACTAATCAAGTATGCAGATTTTAAAAATTTGTATGTATGGTGTGCAGTCGACATCATATGTTAATTATTAATTATGAGAATTGATTTCCAAACTTGGGCTTATTTTCATCCTTGAATCATGTTAATATTTGGTAAATTGATAACTTATTTTGCGTTTTTTGGCGGAAACAGAATTAACATGGTCTTGTAATGGGCGGGTATGCTATCCTTTAGCAACTGTGAAGTTATGCAACCTCATTTCAATAACCACCCAAACTATCCTGACTAAGATAAATGTGGAAGAAACGATTTAAGAGAATGTCTGAAAAAGATTTTACAGATGAGGAGCAAAGTGCAGCTGCATCAGTTCTTATTAGCCAGGTCTGTAGATGTGCATATGGTTCCTTGTTAGCAAAATCTCGCTATATGATTGATTCCCTCGGTGCAATGTATAGCAAGATCCGATGATCAACATATCTTGGAAATTAGTTGTGGCGACCATCAGGAAAATTGTAAGTTTACATACACTATATTACCACGGGTACGTGAGTTTTATACAAATTAATTTCAGGCGATGGTGATTAATTTTCCATTTATGTTTGTTAGAACCAGGTTCAAAGGCTATTCTGGAACCTTTTTGAGAAGAAGAAAACACGACAACTACAGCAGATGCATGTATAATAATAGGCAGTGTATATATTTCAAGTCTAAGTTAAGCACATTAAATATATCTGACAACTGTTTAATATTTACTGATCTTTATCAAGTGTAATTTAATGATATTAATGGTCACTATGAAGAATTAATAGATATATCGATATCAGATTTATATATATACATATACATTCATAATAATTGGGTTTTTAAAATTTATTTATTTATATGAGTTACTTATTTATTAAATCTTTTTACATTTATTATTTATACTCACGCAAATCAACATATATACAATGTAGTTCTTATTATTAGGCTTTGGATGGTTATTATATTAATACACAACAAGATATTTTGCAATTTTTGCTGGAACTATTTCTAATTTCATTCATATATATACATACATATACGTCATAGAGTTATTTTTATACATTGGGTTTCTATCTTAGTGTGGAATTCTAGATTACTACTTGTCATAGGAGCTTCTTTTTCAATTAAAAACGACTTGGGTAAATAAATTTATGGCGAGGGTTGGGTTGCACAATTCATAATTTTTGTGCAAGAATTAATTACACAATTATTATATAAAAAGCTTGGCTAATTAATACCAATAATAAATAAATAAGTATCGAGGTTTTTTTGTTACTGGCCGCGTAACGATTCTTTTGGAAAAGAAAAAAGAATAATTATTTAATGCAATGTTGTTTGTTACATACATAATATATAATCTATTGTTAATAGTGATATATGATAATTATTACAGCGATAGAATGATTTGATGTTTTCTAATAACAATTTCTAAAATAAGTAATAGTTATTTCAAAGATATCACGGCGGTGATCATAATGAGATCGTGGAATAACTGGCTTATCTCATTATTTCCTAATTAATAAGTTCAAATCCAGATAAATAATTAATATAACTAAATCCTTTTTGATTGATTGAGAAAGGACGTAATGTTGCATACATACTTTAATAGCCGTAGAAATTTTGACGTTGTTTTCGGTTAAATTGATTTTTTCTTTAATGTAAATATTTTGATATAATTAAAAAAAATTTATTCATAATCCCAATTAAATAAATATGTTTTAAATGAATGAATGAATGAATGAATTAATTAATTAACCAATTACCAATAATTACCAATAATATTATTCAAGCCCCTTCCGACTGTCACACTATCTTTCAATAAATCACTTATTGCATACGGAACATGCAATGATGGAAAAATCCAAATGTTTGCCGAATTTAAAATAGCGGCTTCTGATTTTTTTAGTCATCATTGACGTAATTATTGTATGTTTCTGCATTCAATAACTCTAATTTATTGTACGCCCAGGCAGGCATGCAACAATGGAAATTTTAGCATGTCATTTCATAAAGTTAATAAATTACAATGATAATAATTTAATTACCAGATTACAATGCTTCAAAAGGCTTCAATTGTTTTGGTTGTGGCTCACTTTTGCTCTTCATAAATCACCGTTATCTTGCATTTGGATTATAATGTGAATACGGCTTTGGTTAATCTAGCGAAACAAGATTTACATTAACATTAATATGATTATTAACCCGCGTCTTATTATTAAAATATATAATTATACTTTCCGTCTGTCGCGATTTTTGTTAATTCTTTCCTTGTTTGCATGTGAATATCTTTGTCTTGTATATCGAATCATATTGATTACAATATTTATATAAATGATATTGTGCAAGACATTCGATATTCTTATCATTTTGAAAAATATATGTTTTATGAATAAATAAATCATAAAAACTCAATTTTGAGTAATTTTTTCAGAAAAAAAAAAAAAGTATGAAAACTTTTTCAAGATAATAAATCTGATGTTCAAGTTTGGTGTCAGATTTATGAAAATTGTCCTTCCTCGCTTTATGCAGATCCCCTCCCGTAACACCCATCATGTTGGCGCGTCGGGTTTTCTAGGACTATCTAATGATGGTATATTGCCTTTTTTTGCAAAAAAAATTATTATTATTATATGGAATAAATTACAAAGTATAAATTTCTATATAAAATTATGAGAATCTAAACCTTACATTGCTTATACACTTCATCAGAACTATCCTGTACTAATACCGAAGCTCCTAACACAACAAATGACTGAGACATCGTGTTGACATAAGAGAACTTTCAACTGGGTCTTTGATAAATCAAATCACCCGAATCCAATTCAATAAAATTCAAGGTCCTCCCATCCTCCTTAAAGAATATTCTAATCTAAGAAAATTCTATTGAATTTTCTAGTGAATATTCTATTGAATTTCTGTTGGATCATATTGTATAGGCCAAAGGTCAAATTAACGTTTTTAATTAGAAAAAGACCGTCAGAATGTGTAAACATTTTTGATTTTAGGATTGCAATATGACGCAAAGATGGTAGCAACCATCGTCAATAGTTGCAGCCGACATCCTATCAAAAATTTTGTCTATTTAATATATTCCTTTGTGTTGGTTAATATCCAACAGGAATATCGCCGCCTGAGATCCAACTCTGTAAACAGTAAACATCGCGTTGTGTCGATCATCATAACAGTTGTATAAATGGAAGAATTTGCAACCAAATAGATATGTTACACTAACCCCTATCCTTAATATTGATCAATAGTATATTAGTATATAGTATTATTAGAATATTTTGATGTTGAATTTCTATCACTGGTAAAAAAAAAATTTACCACAAGTCAAATTTGATTTTTTATCTAATATATACAAATAATAATAATAATAATGCTAATGATTCTTTCCACCAGATCATTTACCATAGATCTATTTTTTTTTGGAAAAGAAAAAATTAATTAATGCAATGTAATAGTAATATATTGATAGTAGTATATATTAATGGCAGTAACATAGAATGATTAAAAAAAATCTCATTATTAGGTTTACACATAGGTTCCCATCACATGTGGGGTGGAATTTGTGAAAAATTATTATATATGGGCATATTGCAAGTGAAAATTTGTACTGCCAAGATTTCAATGTTAAATTCTAATTCTGGTGACATCACTCCTCATTCAGAATTGAGCTCTTGCGAAATGAAACTTGCCTTCTCCTAAGATACTATCTAAAATTCATTGAATGTCTAAGACAATACTGAAGGTAAGTAAATATCCCAACTTCTTCATAGGTTGCCACATATTTGGCAAGTACTTCACAAAGTGTCCTCCTATTAAATCTTTCTGCTAATTCATTTGTTTGAGCATGATATGCCGATGATAATTTGTGTTTTATCCCCATCTCTCTGCATAATTAATCCAACATTTGATTAACAAAATGTGTTCCTTTGGTCAATTAATAATACTTTGGGGCATCTGTATCAATTTGTTATATCTTCATGGAAGAATTGTCCTACCAAAGTAATTTTTGCATCAAGAATCGGCTTAGCTTCTGGCCATTTAGTTCAAATACTCTGTCACTACCACCATGTATTTATTTCCTTTCCTTCTCTCAGGCAATGGTCTAACATATTCATTCCTAATCTGCCGAAGGTTGACATGCATCACAAGTTCAAACATATTCCCATACATTTGATTCCAATAATATCTTCTGGCAATCCTGTAATAGTTCAAAATGTCTTGCTAGCAAATCAGCATATAAGTTGTGTTATTTTATTTAATTTTACCACCTGAAGGGGATTTTTCCTATTCTTCTTGTGCAAAATTCCTTCTCTTATTATAAAATATCTTGATTGATTTCTATTATTTTTTTTTTTTGTTCTTCATCCTTAGATGATTCTGAAAAGATTACTAGATTGTAATCCAAGTTTAAATCCATTTTATTTATACTTGTCAACAATCCTTCATGTATATTGTGATCTCAATAATCTACACAGAACCATAGTCCATCATTCTTCTTTTCTGCCAATACCACTCCTGAAGCATAATCACTACTTGATTCATGAATGAATCCAGCCCCCTGGATAAATTTTCTTCCCTCTTTGAGAATAATGTCTAATTGGTTTAGAATCCATCAAATCTATACTATGGTAAGTCATGTTAATCCTTCCAACATCTAACTTCTCCCATGCAAAGATATCATGATACTTGTATAACAAGTCTGTAAAGTGTTGAGTTTGTTTTTCATCAAGTCCTTTTCCAATGTCAATAATGTATTGGTTTGTTTTAACACCTTCTTCTTCTGAAGTTTCTATGTTTAGATTATAGGTTTGTAACTTCTCCTTCCAATTACATCTGCACCAAATACAGCAATGATGGTTGTGATGAACTTCTTCCCATGGGTATTGTCTTCCTCGAAAGATATGCCACTCCTCCTCCTTCATAGTTGTAAGTGGTCTCTCTTTATCATAGATATGAGTCATTTTCATAGTCAGTTTCTTCGATTTTTATAGAAGATATTAGCAAATTCATATGGTGTTGATTCAAACTTATATGAAATAATCCAATCAGGAATATTACATGATGATTGAAAAGTTGATTTATATTTTGTCCTGTCACTATCATTCTACCTAAATTATAAAATCTCAACAAATCAAATTAACTATATATCAGATGATCTATTCATCTGATTATTGGAATCTTCACATTGGTCTTTTTATTATCATTGTAAGGAAGTGTCATATAGTGAATAAATAAGTAACCTCTTATCATCATCATTATTTTTTTTGTTTTCTAAAGCTGAATTAAAGCTGGTATTTTTTGCTAGATGCTTGTTTGCTTCATATTTGTTTGATATTTAGTATCACCAACATAACTGTTTATTGATTTATATCAACAGATAAACAAACACTAAACATGAATAAATATATACTACTAGGATTTTTATAATATTATGAAAAAAAACCATTTGTTCTAATTTTATTTATTTATTTAATATAGAAGCCAAAAAAAAATAAAACAAAAGAAACCAAATGGCAAAAGAAAAATCCTCCATTTTATATTGACCTTGTCTCCCAGTCTGCCCCAATAAATAACAAATGAATAAAAAAAATATAATAATTAACAACAATAATTAAACAAATTGAAATTTAATGATTCAAAAAATCTTGATTTTCTTTTTCTTTTCACTATTTTATACACTTCATAATCCTCCACCAAATGAACCAATTTCTCACCATTTATAAGGTTTAAATCATTTTCATAAACATCCTTATAATAAAGATTCTTATAATAAAAACAATAAGTTTCATTCTCAGGATTATTACATATTGCTAAATCATTAAAATCAACAAAGCCTTCATTAAATTTAATATCATCCCAAGTATAACTAGTTAAACTGCCCCAATTATATAATGCATGATGAGGTTTCTTGACTCTACTCAATACTGAGTTTGTTATTGAATATTTATCAATATTAAAAAGAAAACTCTTGCCTGTTTCAATGTTATAATAATCATCTGGAGATTTTCCTTCAATATTCCAACAGAGTGGATTGTATCCACCAATCAGCTCACCTGTTTCTTTAAATTTAATTATAGTCACAGTTTCCTCAACATTAAAACATCTTTTCTGAAAAGCTTCTTTTGAGAATCCATCACGACTTCCACGAAGAACTAATTCAAAATCATAAGGCACAGCATTTTCATTATAAATACTTTCTTTACTATCAACCCAACTTGAAATCAAGCATTTAATATTTGAATTTAACAATTCTTGTGTTCTCATCCTTGGACCTTTTTTAAATATCAAATTTAATTCCAATTTACCAGAAAGATGGTATTGAAGGATTTCCTTATATAATTCTCCATTAAAAATTTTTTCATAAGGTGCAATTTTATCAAAGAAATCTTTTGAAGTAATTTGATCAAATCTAATTAATGGAATAATATCTTCTAACATATTTTTTAATTTATTAAATTCATCTTTGTTCCATTTTGATATATCTTTTTGTAATTCTTCATCTTGACCAATTCCCCATTTAATGATACAATCCCAAATATCCATTTCTTTCATAATCAAATCATCATTTTTTAATAAATATGTAAGTGTAGGCTTTTCAATTGTTGCAAGATCATCATTAGCTTTTAAAAATAGCATTGGTTTTTCACAAATAAAATCATTGCAATAATCTTTAAGTAAATCAAATGATTCATTCCTCAACGAAAAATTATAAACCTCAATTATATTTTGTTGAACCCAATCTCTGTTTTTAGTTATTAGATGGCTCTGTAAGTCATTAAATAACTCAATAAAGCATAATTCATCACATGCTTCAAGAAGCTCCAAAATTTCACTCGGATTTAGATTTTTTACATCAATAACTCCACTATAAATATATCTTTAAAGAAAATTTTTTTATTAATCAAAAATAAAATTATTATAATTATATTTAATAAGTCAATTAAATTAAACTCACTTTAATATAATTTCGAATATATTTGGATAAATATTTTTCTTTTCAAGTAAAATAATTCCATTATCGGATTTTTTAACCCAATTATTTGATAAAGCTGTAGTAAAATAAACGGACCTTGCTTTTAAAATGGCAGAATTTGCATTGAATATTTTAATATTCTTGCTTACTCCAACTGTAATTTCTACATCATAACAACTAGATTCATTTAATAACTTTGAAAAATCATTTGCGAGTTTAATGAGATGTTTGAATGGTAAAATATCTTTATTAGGAATAAGAGGATTATTAAATAATTGATTAATATTTTCCAAAGATAAGATTGTATTATTATTGGACATTTTAATAATAGTTTTACTAATACTAAATATAAAGAAAAGACAAGACAGTGTCACAAAGTAATTTCAGGGATTAAAATACATCATAATATATAGTAATAGTATGGTTGGTTCGGTGGTCTAAAGACTCCTATTGCTGTGCCACGCGCTCAAAATTTCCAACTTTTAGATATGATGGTTGTGCATTAGTCTAAATTTAGTAATTATGGTCTCAAACTAGTCTAAATTTAGCAATGACAGATCTCGTGAACAATAATTTTTTTAACCTATTCTATCAACTAACAGAGCTATTTTTTTAAAAAGTGGGACAGAAAGTGACTTCTATCCTTTTAAAATTTGCACAAAATTTAGGAGGTCTTTAGGCTGAGCCAACTATAATACATACTATTACACTAATACTAATATGCTCCAGCTTGATTGATTCTTTATTATGGTTGTTTACTGTAATTGTAAGGTAATATG